AATTTCTAAACTGTGTTCTAAATGTTTATCTTTAAAGGTGAATGTAGACTCCACCCCTCAACAAAGAATTTTTCCCCAATAGACAAAGATAGCAACAAATAATCAAATTGCAGAGAACAAACGACTGGAATTTCCAGCTCCAAGTGATACATCTACAAAACAACCTATATTCCTAAGAACCACCTATGAGAAAGAAGATACAGCATTTGTTTTTGTGGGACTAGATTACCTCACTCAATATAATGTTTGCTAATTTCATACTTTTATCTTAATATTGCATGATTCCATCTTTCTTTAGATCTAAATAGGATTGTATCATAAACATACATTTTCATTATCCTTTTCATCCCTTGAAAAAATAATGTAATTATATTTTAATTATGTAAAAAAGTAAAGTGCTTATAAGGTATATAAAATAATAAAATAGATAAAAATGAAAATGCCTTGGAGAAAATTTTGAATAAAATGTTATTGTTTGAAATTACTTACCGTAAGGCAAAGATCTGAATATCTGAATATAAGTCACAAGGGTCATTCTGGGTGTAAAAACTAAGTCATATTTTCTGGTGGAAGAATAAAGAATAAAACATATCTTCACAGATAATGAGACAGCAAAGCAGAGCCCAAAGCACCAGCAGTCCTAGTAGGAGCAGCAAGGCCTCTCTTCTGCTGTACCTGTGTTCTTGTTTCATTCACGCATATATTCAAAAGGGGCTGATTTTTTACAAAACTCAATCCCATTTCACAGTCCCTAATGTTGGATGGAGGTGAAGAGGACTTTTGCTTGTTTACTAAAACGAGTAAAGTGCTTTTCATTTTGGTGTATAGAATCACTTGTTGAAGAATGGGTCTTGTTTTTTATAAACAGAAATGACTAATGAAATTAGTTTATGTTAGTTGATTATCACAAGTGAAACAATGTTGGATTTCAAGCACTTTTTTTTTATTTTGCTACTTTCCATTCATTCTACTCTCCTCCAGTCTGCTTTGGCCCTTGAGTGCTTTTTCCCTAAAAGCAAGCAAAAGAGGTCAGAACTGAGCCCTGAGGACATCTACATGTTTTACCTTCTTTTCACCAGTAGCCTTTTACAATAAGGCAGAGTATAAGGTGGATTGGAAAAGTGATTTGAATCTTTCTTGGAAGAACAACATTGAGAGCCTATTGTATATCAGACACTTCAGATAGAAGATTAAATATTTGTTTGTTTATGTAAGGATTTTAACTGTACAGTCTACTTACCGTAAGAGATGTGGTGTATGTTCCTGCAAAACAGTCACTATTTTGTAACTTGATTATGGAATAGCTGTCCTTATATCAATGTCAAAGCTGAACTTCTAAAAGGAAGATGCTGAATTAAATGGGAAAGCAGAGTTCTCTGGACAGAGAAGACAAAGACAATCAAAGATCACAGCACAATATGGATTCTGCATGAGGGTGGGGAGATTAACAGGTGGTACGTGGAAAAACCTTAAGCAGTACTTCAATTAACAGAATAGGTAAAACATGAGCGAGTATATGGATTTTTAAAGAGATGCCACTGACAGATAGTTCTCCATGTGAATAGAAGTTCCTGGAAAAATCCCTTTTCTTAGAATGTTCTGCAAGGCTGAGTGAGTGATTAAAACATGAATGATGTGAGAAAACTGTAAAGTTACAAGTTCAGAGCCAAATTGTTTTGGACCATCTTTAGATCCATTGAGAGAAATTAATTATCCTGCTTTACATGTGGCTTAACATCTTTGTGACCATTGGGAAATTTTTTGTAATTTTTCTCAACTAGTGCCCAGCAACCAAAAGGTTAAGAATACCATCAGATATTATCTAAGGCTTATAGATGAAATCTCCCAGCTTTTGCAACCTACCTACACGTCTTTTCCACCAATGCATTTGAAAAGTGTCTTGACTTATAATTTTCTTTGTTCTGTAACTATAAATCTTTATGGAATTGTTATCACTATGGAATGGGGTTTTAGATAAGCTAAATCCATTTTCCTTGACTGTGGCCACTTTAAGTTATCTCTTATCCCCTCTGAGGTCATGCTGTTTGTTTCATCATGTACCTTCTATTTCTCTGAGCCCTTAGATTTTCCATTGGAACTGTTCACTCATGAAATTCTTGGTGCTTCCCAGCCACTCCACCTGGTCATTCACTCATAACTCTTTCACATTATATTATTTTGTGCTCTCTTCTTATTTTATAAGTTTGTGTTTCACACTTTGATTTATTCCACATCAATGTAGTAATCAAATTACTACTCTGTCAATTAAACAATAGAGTAACCACCCTACAGAAAAGTATTTAAGAGTTTCTAAGCATATTTTTACACAAGATAATAGATTAAAACAATGTGACTATTTTGTTTTCCTGTCCACACAGAGTTTAAAGGAAAGGGAAAATATTTTTCATCACTATTGTACAGCTATTAGAAGATAAGAATGGCTGTAAGTAGGAAAGCTAGCATTTCCAGGGATTTTAATAAAATAGAAAGATAATATCAACTCTACAGCAAAGATAAAGCAAATCAAAATGTTGGATAGAATGTGAGTGGGTTGTGGCACACCAGTGCTGACCCAGAAGAATCAGGCAAATTACAAACACCTACTCCACAGCCACAAGGACCAGCAGGCAGCCTTGGAAAATAATTATGAAATCAATATGTTCAATCTTCTTGAAGCCTTAGCCTTTATCTATTTATAAGAATCCCCTGGACATGGTCCTTAACAGTAGGTAGGTAAACAAAAAGCTGAACAAGGCAATTTTTAAATAAATTTCATTGCTTTTTTCCAGAAGCGTTCCCATGTGGATTTTAGGTCCGTAGAGAAAATTAATGCCTACAGAAATATAAACATAGAAAAGTCAAGAGAAAAAGGAGACTTATTTTCAAAATCCTCATTCACAAGAAAAGAAATGATGATAACTGTGTGTAACATTTTACATCTTTCTAAAAATACTGAAGTAAAGATGTCTGTGACACCATTGTAGTTCCCAAACTCCTGATTCCATCAGTGGACTATCTCTGCTCTAAAGCTACCTAAAGTTGATTCAGACCAATCAAAATAGTTGATATAAGGTTTACTCTGTATTTTATGATCTAAAGGAAACAAGAGGAAGTTGGTACTCATGGTCCACTGAGATGAGGCCCTTTTACTTGATTCTAAATTCCCCAAATCTTTAGAGACAGCACTTTAATGATTGCAAGGATGTTAAAGCACACAGAGCAACAAGTGACACATTTATCAACACCATATACCAAACATGCATATACATCATTCCAGTTATTACTGTCCTAAACACTCAAAAGTGGAACATGATTTGTTACCTACACACCTGGGAGATCAAGCCTTTGACTATTGATAGGACTCATTCACAGCCTAAACAGTCAAGGCAAACACACAGATAGTGAGAAATTTCACAGCATGGAAAAGAAAATATGCATTATTGAAGAAAGAACATACCTGAGAAGAAATAAATACTTTATAAACCATGCAGAAATCTTCAACAATTTTATCAGTATTCCTAGATCATAATTTAACTTATCACATATCTCTATCAAAAGAAGATTATGTGGCAAATCAAAATAAGGAACATGAAAATTCTTAGAGTATTAATACCAGTTTGTAATAAAATAATTGATTATATTTCAATGCAGATCTCCTGTACAAACAAAAGCAAGTACGCAATGGTAAAAAAAAAAAAAAAAAGTGGAGTGCATTTATAAAAGTCACAAATCTTTAACATACTTGCCATAAGTGAGTTCTTTAAAATAAATAATAAACAGCCAGTAAAAATTTGAAATAATTAGTGGCTAAAATTGAGAACTTCTTAGCTATTTCAGACAAGGTATGGTAGATAAGTGAAAGTAATCAATAAATGGAACATATTAAAAAATGGAACTTCAAAGATGAAGTATTTGCACATCAACATCCTAGAAGAAAAGAAGGATGAAAACCATTATCCTTGTCATAACCACCACCAGCAGCAACAGTGGCATCCCCACCACCACCACCACCATCATAATCTTCCAACGGTGATACAGTGAAGCTCACTGAGCCGCCAGTGTGAAAGTCCCTGACAGGCAGATCACAAAAAAAATGGTCACCTGTCTAAAAAACTGGGAAAAATCTCACAAGGCTAAGGAAAAAGAAAACAACTTCACCAGGGACAGAAAAATAAAAATTAAAAAAAAAAAACTTCAAATGAATGAATTATCAAGAAAGCCACATCTCTTTCTTTGGTAGAGGTTCATGTCACAGAAAGACCTCCTCTGTTTCTTCTGAAAGTTTGTAGAGAGAGGTAAAAATAAGAGTAAGCATGATTATTAATGAATTACATATCCTATAAAAGCAAGCATAAGAGAAATCTTTCAACAGTAATGGCTGCAGTGTTCTACAAACTCTAGGATATTACTCTCCAAACTGCTGAAGATGCAGACTTGATTTTGTAGTTCACCATGAAGCCAGAGAATGAGAACTAGCTGCTTTAGCATTTGAAAGAAAAATTAAAACTTTCAAACTGACAGAAATTTAGTAAAGAAGCAGCATTTACAGAAAGAATTACAAGATAGAGATTCATCTACAGCTGATTAAGTAAAGCCAAACATTTCAGCAATGCTGGAATGGAATAAGCCATTTGGCTGCACTAAGGAATGTGCTTCTTAGATAAAGGTGTGAGAGGGCAAGATAGCTCAGCTGCCTCTGGAGATCAATGCTTTCATTGAGATTTGCAAAGCAATGGATATCTCCTGTACAAAATTATAAACTAAAAGCCATAGCCCATTATCACTACAGAAAAGTGATTTCAAGGATTCTGACTTCCTGCCAATCTGGTGTCTGTCCTGTTTGGTGGCCAGAAAGTGTGTCAGCTATAGCCTTGAGGTCACTGATAAGGGGACATGTTGGTATTCCTTTCAATTCTTCTGTTAGCATGCCTACACTATGATGTCATATTGGCTGCCCTTGAGAGGCACCTCATTGTGACTGGACATGTGCCTGATGTTCCATTGCTAGTATCATAAACAGTTGAGTAAGAAAATTTTCTAAATTAATAATCAATTCTTACTGTTGAATAAGCACTTCTTCCAGCATACTTAATATTCCAAGCAACAGAGGCAAACCTTTATTTTAGCTACATTTATGATCACGGAGGGCCTGTGCCATGGTTAGGTGGACACTGTTCTAACTACAAAAATATCTAAAGGTAAATATGCCTGTTGATTATGCTTAAGGTGTTCCTACTGCCAGTTGGGGATCATATACTGATTTGTATCTCATTTCATTCTTAAGGCTTTCAAATTTTGCCATCCAATAACGTAGTTTATGTATTTTAATGAATTTAAATATTACCAGAGCTTGTATCAACAAAGACAGAATGTATCTGCCACAGGCACCTGGGCAAAAAACACTTCACCACTGCATGGCTACCTAGTACATATGAATTTACTACTGATTTCTGAGTATGTTGCTGATTCTATTATTTTTACATCTAACTTTCCATAATTTTCTCTCCAGAAACTCAAGTTCCAAATGTTGAGATTTGTTTTTTAAAATATAAATCTATGTAAATGAAAATACTACACCTTGAGTTTATTAGGGAAGAAAATTTGAATTAGAACAGATTGTTCTGCAGTAAGCATTTCAATACAAGTTGAAATATTTCCTGTGCACAGTAAAATGTTCATTTTCTTTGTGACATCGTCTAATTTGGGGTAACCTAGTACTGAGTTTGAGGACCCTGGTGAGACTGAAATAATTGGGGCCTGGGAGTATTATGCTGAGTGCCCAGTAGAGAGGTGTGAAAATGGGAACGGTGGCTATAGAAACGGCAGCTCTATCCCTTCAACTTCAGATCCAATTTTTAAGATAATTTCTTGCAACTCTATTATTATATTCTGCAAAAGAATGATGAATCATCCTCTGTAATCTACTGTGTTGCTGCTATTTATAAAACATTATCTCTTGTTTAGATTTATATTATATATTATCATTGTGATATTATTGTAAAACTCAATTCTTTTTGGTCCTCTTGAAGGTTGTAGCTTCTAAGTAGATTTAGAATCTGTGCTTACAGGTATTGTAGAATTGAAAGAGCCTGTGTGTGAGAATACAATGAGGAAATTTAAAGCTGTTTGCTTGCACACAAGCCTTAGATTGAATTCTAAATGACACAATGCCTGGATGGGAGCCATGACAGAGTGACTCTGCAAGCCCCCACTTCTCAGCAAGGTAGCAGGTAGAATCTATTCTGATAACAGATGCTCCGTCAAGGCCTGGAGAGTCCATCATCAATCTGTTAGGTAAAGTTGGTATGAATTTTACACATCTTTCCAGCTTCTCATCCATGAGTTTTCTGTTTCCTGTTTTCTTGTTTTACTCTGGAGCCGGTAATGATCATGAAGAAGGGGGAGGGAGAGATGGAAAGAGGAAGAGAAAGAGAGAAACAGAGACAGAGACAGAGAGAGGTGTTCATAATACAGTAATATGTAAGGTGCAGTTGATAATAATTGCACAATTCATAGTAGAGCTAAGTTATTTCTAAAAAGAGTTCAGGAGGAAATTTCTAATTTACTTTTATCTTGCCACTTTATTTCTTCACCTTTGAAGGCTAATTTTTTGGGAGAAAGAATTAGATGTTGATGTATATTTTTTTCTAAGTATTTTAAAGATTTCATTCTTTCCTTACTTATTTCCTTCTGATAAGATGGACAGTTAAATAATGTTTTTGCCCTATGAATAGATGTCTCTTCTATTCTATTTTCTTTTAGAAATTTTCTTACTTATTTCAGTTAAAATTATATCGACAGAATATTTGTGCATATTTATGAAACACAATTTCTGTTAAGATATTTTTCTTTGATTGATTTTCTATAGTATAATTATGCTATACATAAATGTAGAGAAAATAAAATTTATTCTTCCTATTCTCTGTTTCTTCTTAATCTGAAATTTGATGTCTGTCCTTGTGCTATTTTCAAATAATTCTTTGGTTTTGTTGTCTCCTTAAGGTATTTTCATCATATGAAGGATCAGGCCTTTTACGTTCTCTCATATTTCTTGAATAAACTGTGCTCTCTTCATTTTTCTCTTTGAATTTCAGTTTGGGGAAGAATTTGTTGACAGTCCTTCAAGCTTAATGAGTATTTTCTTGGGCTATGTCCATGCTCCTGACATGCACATCTACGAAGCTGTCATCGTGTTTCGATGTTTTAGATTTTCACGTTGCCTTTTTATCTTTTCTAGTTTCCATCTGGTTACCTACATTGCTCATGTATATTTTCTATTAAAACCTTGTGCCAGTTAATCTTAGTTATTTCAACTTCCCTGTTCATGATTTCAGGAGGTGTCTTACATTTAAGTCCTGCTCTGATGGCTGCATTGTCTGCTCTATGTTTATAGTTGTTTTTGGCTGTTAGCGTAGCCAGTAGTTTAGTGTTGTTTGGAAAGACAAGCAAGTTGTATAAGGAATGAAACAAAGGAAAAGATGCTTTAGTGTGGTAATTTATCCTCTTTGCCTATAAGTGAAGCTAAACTTAAACCTTGTTTTATAGGGAAGTTTCAAATTCCTACTCTTATGTTTCCTTTTCCTTTTTTTTTCTTTTTTTATAGCAGAATATTATTTTGAATCCTAAACAGTCCTTGAATTCAGCATCTTCTAGCCACAGTCTCCTAGTACTTAGATTATAAGCATGCACCATTGTACTTGGCTTGGGTATTTTAAATGAATTATTTTTATTACTTTGTTCTGCTTTTTTTTCCCAACCTTTATAAGAACCTTGGGAGGCAGGCTGATGAATCATGGCTCTGTTGCCATTAATAGTCTTCATGTTTGGGTCTACTGTTGGTATGCAGAAGGAAATCCCCCCCTAACCTCTGATTTAATCTCTGATCTGCCTAACACCCATTGATAGAGATCACCACACATGTCACTCTGTACCAATACCTTCCCAGCTGCACACAGCAGGCCTAGCTTATTTACCAGAATCAGCCTGTCATCTGCTTACTGCACTCCTACTACAGTGAGAGGCTGGGAGGGTCTGGAGTTGAAGGAACATACTTTCTGAGCTCAACTGAGCATCTACCAGCCTTTTCTTAGAATGGAAGACCTCACTTATGAGTGAGATGTGGACATGTTTTCACTCTTGTCCTTATCTTCTGCAGGAAACATGTATACCAGATTTCTGCTTCATGTTTACCCTGAAAACCTGCAGAGGTAGATTCTAGAGATGGAGTCTCAGTTGTCAGGAGTCTCTTTGTCTCCGGCTAGTCCATACTCATTCCCAGCACTACAGCAATATCCAGGTTCTTCTTTCTGCAGACTTATGTACCATAACTTCAACTCTGAGGATACAGATTCAAACAATATCTCTCTAGAAAGTCTTACCTTCATACATTTATTTATCTTTCCTTTTCACCACAGGGTTATGTGGAGTTCAAGCATAATCACTGATTTTCTCATTTCCCAGGATTTTATTTATTTTTTCCAATACCACCACATGGTTTTAAATAGCTATAATATTCAAAAGTATTTTCTGGATTTATCAAATAAGCATTTCAATTTGACAAAATAACAAAAAATGGAGTGTTATGGTTGAACTGCTATTGTTAGGCTTATTGAAAGATTAATATTAATAATTTCATTAATCTGTAGATATTTTATAAAGGACCCAGTGATGGCATTTTTTGTTGTTGTTATTGTCAGCTTAACTGCATTTGTAATTGATTGAAACCCAAGGAGCTGGGTACTCCTGTGAGGGACTTTTCTTTGTTGAATTATTTGTGTGGGGAAACCCCACACTAAATCCAGATCTTTCCAGGTGGGAAGATCTACAGTAAATCTGCACACACCTTCTGGTGGCAGCCTGTATAAATGACATGGAAGAAGGAAGCACTTGCCCTTTGCTTGTTTGCTCTCATTCTCACTGGTTGTAGAAACTACTTCTTTGGGGTTTCAGCTTATACTGAAGAAAAGCTGAGTCATCCAGCCTCATAGACAGAACAACTGCTGGATTCTTGGAATTTTTGTTGAGAGATAGCCACTGTTAAAATAGTGATACCACAGCCTGTAAGCCAATCTAATAAATCCAACACAATGTTGATGGTTTTTTAAGGGCTTTATTTTTTCTTTAATTATTGTTACATACACACACATGCACACACACACACACACACACACACACACACATACACAGAGCACATGCACACACAGATGTATATAAACTAGCAAATTAAAAAATATAACCTGTTCAGTCTGCATAGCATTCCTGTGTGTATGCTTTCAGCGCTGATCATTTAGTATTGAATAACCAATTAGTGTACAATTAGTGTAGTCTTCTCTGGGGAAGACTATTTCCTCCACTTTCAGATTCCTTGTTTGCTTGTAGTTCTTTATGTGGGGTTGAGGACTTGTAAGTTTTCCCTAACCCACATTAGCATGTCTATTGGTGAATCTTTCTTAATGGTGTAAATGTGGTCGTCACCTCATATACATAAACAGAATGTCCAGTGAGACTGTAAACTTACATATACTGCTCACCATAAAACCAGTGGCACATTTGAAATCCTTAGTGTCTACAAGGAAGAAGTAACCTATCAGGCTGGAAGCACAAGCCACAAGAGAATTCCTTTGTGCTCATTCACTCTCAATGTGTCTAACTTTTTAATCTATGTACAGGTAAACAATTCAATGAGTTCCCATTCTCAGTATGTCTCTTCAGAAAGACTTTCTGAAAGAAAGAAAGAAAGAAAGAAAGAAAGAAAGAAAGAAAGAAAGAAAGAAAGAAAGAAAGAAAGAAAGAAAGGAAGGAAGGAAGGAAGGAAGGAAGGAAGGAAGGGGAAGGGAAGAAGGAAAGGAAAGGAAAGGAAAGGAAAGGAAAGGAAAGGAAAGGAAAGGAAAGGAAAGGAAAGGAAAGGAAAGGGAAGGGAAGGGAAGGGAAGGGAAGG